CCCCCACCCCGCACCTCCTTCAGGCGGCAGGAACAAAGATAATGTCGGACACAGTAAAAACCGCATCTACTAACAGCTTCTCATTTCAGTCCTTTTTGGATTAAACACCATTGTCACCTGCCCAGGTAAGCTGAAAAACTCATGTTGTTTAGTTCACATTGTTGTTTGGTCTATGTGTTAAGATTTGTAACTTATTACGATCAGTATGTGTGAGCTTATGAAATAATCTTACCAGCTGAAAGGTGTCTCTGTAATCGCTCTGGTTCTTCAGAAAACATACTTTACGGTCTGACAGTAAGGTATCCTGAGATGCAATTTTCCAAAACCGATCTTGTATAATGTTGCAGTTTTTTTAAATTATCAATACAACAAAGCATGCTACGACGCTCCAAGTTGTAAACAGCAGAGAAGCGGCTGTGATGACGTGTTGAAATGGGCGTGACAGGATCAGAAGTAGGTTCTTAAAGAGACAGAGGCCAATTTCAAGGTGTTTGAAATGGAAATTAATCAGAAGTCCAGTGTATTTTTGATTTAAACATATAAACAGCATTTTAATAACCACCAAAGGTGATATAGTTACTTTATTATAGTATAGAGTTTAAATATATGCCTGAGAAACCCATAATATTGCCCCTTTAATTTAAAACTGTACTGAGATTAAACAAATGTTCATAATTCATTTAAATAAATTACAAGTTAAGAAGGGTATGGAAATTTCTCTTTTTTGTCTTGAAAAAATATTGATCCGTGAGACTAAAGTGTCAAACCAAACCGTGACATTTTTGTATTGTTGCACTCCTAGTTAAGAGTGATCTGAAAGAACAGTGAAAAAGAACTGTAATTGCTTAAAAGTAAGAAAAGTCAGAGGATGAATTATTAACTGACAACAGCCTCTATGTTGCTTTTTGTTTGTATAAATGTATCTATATATGACTATACAAGTGAACAATTTTTGTTTACTTGTATACATATTTGTATTTAAGTAAATTTGCTTTGCTTTTGAACATTAGAATGAACATTTAGAATGAAACACAAAGCTGAATTAGATCAAGCTACCACTTGATAGCTAAGAGAAGCTATGCCTTACAGCATGCTTTTTGTTTCTATTGCAAAACCCACAAAATAATCAGTCCATAAAATCTATCAGGCATTCACTCACAAGAATCCTCATAGGTTGTTTCATTAATCAACAAGCACAAACCTTGGCTGAGTTTAACATTTCTTTGCCCGCAAGCCCTAAACTTTGACACTACCTTAATACAACTGTACATATTAACCCATTTCTCCCTTTTGTCTCCCCCCCCCCCCACTTTACCCTCCAGCAGTTTCTTCAGGAACAGACAAGTCCAGAATTATTTCAGCTTGATTACAGCTGCAACATACACAGACCTACGACTAGACATGTTCTTCCTCTGCGTATGTAAAAGGTTGAGAGGAAAATTCCTGCTAACCAATGAGCAAGCTTTAAGTTTTTCAAGTCATCTGGAAAAAATAGTGTTTTGTTTTTTGTAATGCAACAATTCCCATCCCAATACGACTTAAATGGGCTAAAACAAGTGGTCTGTATGCAGTTGCAGCAATGTGGCAAATTGAATTTGGTAGTATCCTGCTTTGCACACAAGACCAATTTTGGAAAGGCTTGTCTTTGTTTACTTCAAACATAACATAGTCCTAAGTGTTCCCTTAATGGGTCAAGTTGTTGCCTCCTTTTCACTCCCATGAAGACAGCAAGCTCCTTGACTTTTATAGAACGGCTGTCTTTGCAAAGTATAGAGACCAGGGCTATTCAACTGGCGGCCCGCGGGCCAAGTGACCAAAATTCAGCCCGCCAATTGGTTCATTCATCTCTTAAAGGCACAATGTGTAGGATTTTGTCAATTCTTTTAGCCGAAATTGAGATAATCACTAATGACAATAATAAAAAACATGTCTAATCATTTCAGACAAAGACCTTGTTTTTTTTATTTTTACCTTATAAAAAATGTTTATATCTCCATGGTCGTGAGTCGCCCTACAGGCAGCCACCATCTTGCAACGCCATCTTGTCTACAAAGGCTCATGAAGGACAAACTGCGGTGGCGGTGTCAAAAACGGTTTTAGTTGTAATGCTATAAATGCAGTGTTTCCCCTACCATTATACAGGCGGGGCAGTTCATAATGATGATTCAACCTCTCAACCACTAGATGTCGCTGAAAACAACGAATCCTACACACTGTGCCTTTAAAACGTCAGAATCTTGGCTACAAGCTGGTAAAAACCAATTCTGTGCATACTAAAGACAGTTAAAATGACATGCAGTTGAAGATAAAACTATGAAAGTGAAAATAAAATTGGTTTAAAAATTTGGCAAGTCAGAGATGTCAAAATAATATTTGTGTCAAATAGGGGGTATAATGTGTTCTTTTTGTTTTTGATATTGTTTAATTATCACTACTTTTATAGGGTTTTGTATGTTGTAATCAGGATTAAATGCAGCAAAACAAACTATTAAGGTAACAAATCTTTGTAATACTTGGTTTATTTATATAATAAATTTAATTGCTGGATGTCCAGCCCCTGAGCTGTTGACCTGCAGTAACTGTGGCCCCCGGACCAGTTTAGTTGAACAGCGCTGATATAGACCCTTCAAAAAGAAGTCCTTGAATATAACTCAAAAAATCATTTTCAGCAAAAAACAAAACATGCATGGGAGCTAATCTCAGATCATTGATTATGTTCTTTAGCAGATTTATGTTTGCTGCAGCTTTAAGCTTCAAGGCTCACACTGTCTTAAATTTAGCGTTTGTTTTCGATTCGATAAAGTTGAAAAACTCACCTGAAATGAGAAGACGTCTTTACAGAGGAGGCATTCTCTGACGTAATCGGGTCTCTTTTGAGGTGAGAATTTCCCTGTGTTGCCTGAATATCCTCAACAGTCTCCACAGATTCCGACGCTTTACTTCTGATGCCCCGTCTGGTATATGATGGTTCTGATCCATTATCCTCATGTTTGTCTTTCTCCTTGGTAACTGAAGACACTGTTTCAGATGTCTCACCAATTTTTCTGTCCCTTCGGACATATTTGGAGGTGAAATCCTCTGTGTTGCCATAGCGTTCGGCCAGCTCCCTCCTTCTTTCCGCCTTGTAGCGAGCAATTCGTTCAGCCTTAGTCTCTGAGGCTGAGCTCTGCAAGGTGTCTATTCCATCCATTATGTAGTTTGGTGTTATTTAAGCAACTGAATTCAAAGCAATTTGCTCTAATACAACGGTTTCCAACTTTTTTGGTGGCTGCTCCCTTGATGGCAATGTCTCACTCCATCAAAACCATGGCAGGGCTGCAGACAAAGGGAAACAAACATTATTAGTACATCACTGTGTCATATATGACATAAACGACTGCACAGCTGTGTCCACCTGACCCCGCCAACCACAAAAGTGATGTCTGCCAGCTAACCATCAACTGAAAACTGCATTTACTTCACTGACTCAGATCAAAGCAGTAATAAATTGTTAAAATGGGAGTAATAAGTGAGAAAATACCAAAACCTCAACAGTCCATTTTATTGCCAATTTGTGTCTATTAAGTCTGCTCAGCATCATTTTATGTATATTAGAACTCAAACTGTTTATTATGATTGCCTTATCAATACCAAAAGTGTTTCACTTATGAGGTAAAAAACACATAAGGGGCTTGAGCTGAGTCAGTTTGTTCCATTATGTAATCTTTGAACAGAAAACCACAAACAGCTTGGACAGAGGCTTGATAAATGTGTGCCAGCTGACAACAGCAATAATGATTATGTGCTGTTTCTGACCGCTCCACACATCAAGCACAGGGGCTTTTCCGCAGACATTTCTCACAGCACAAGTATGCCTATGATGCTCTGGAAAAGTCAAAGAGGAGCAAGAGAGACATATATTTATAGTGGAGAAACAGACCTAGATTTTAAGTAGCCCTCAGGTCTTCCTCAAATTACAGGGCATGACTTTAACTCAACATATAGGTTCTCACACTTATGGGATACAGGAAAACATAAATGAAAGCAATGTGCCTGGACGTTAGTAATAAAGACAAGGTTGAAAWGCAAGTTCAAAGTAGAGAAAATTTAATTGGGATACATTGAGATTACTCAGGGGTGTTAATGGGTGTGTTCCTTATAACTCCAGCTGGTTGATAAGACTCATGACTATGTAAAATTTAAAAAAAAGACAGCTTTCAAATACTGCAATGAATCAGTGTATACATCAACGAACATGAGTGTATGCAGGATATTGTCAATCTGGTTAAACCTGAGGGACACAAGTTTTTCTTGCAGGTGTATGATTAAATGCAGTGTAAGAAAAAAAATAAATTTAATGTTTGAAAAATGCTTTTAAATTGAGTTAACAGCATTTCCAGAAAGAAATGTTGACTTTTTTTATTTACTTTAACAACTTTAGATACAAGGTCTTTGTAAAGGGTTCTTTATCCTTTGAATGACAAACAGCTTAATCACCCTAATTTCTTTAAATTTTACTTCCAAAAGAGCCTGGCCTTTTTGTAAAAAAAAAGGTCTTCAGCAGTTGTTATCGGGGACTTTTTATTTTGAATTATTTCAAGGTTCAACCAATGTGCAAGCCATGGACAATCAAATTGTGCCCACAATAAAATTTGAAAACATAGGTTAAAAATACCATGTAGAAAAATCTAAGTTTAACTTCTCAGAGTCAAATTGTAGACTAAATTAAAGATCAGGATTTCTCAAGAGAATTGAAGCAAGTCAACTAAAAGGTAATTTGTTGTTATGAGATTGGCAGTAATCTGAGTCAGATTTTCACTTGTTTTGAACACTACTATGTACCAGGAAAATTTGTTTTCAAAATGAACAAAAATTTTAAGTAGATTTAGTAACTTCACATGACAGATTCATATACATTACATTAAGGTTTTTACATTAAGATGTTGCTGTTTACTCAAGAAGACTGTGTTTAAACTCAAAGGGACTTCAAAACAAAGTCCAAGAACTGCCTTATGAAGGCAAAAGAATCAGAGTTTGAATGTTGATTTCGGCTCTGTGCACACACTTACATAATCACCTCGGCATCTATCTATAAAAGGAAAGCAACACAGGACACTCAAGTTTGGTCATGTGGACCACGTGCATGAGGGGTGCTTTGCTTGAAAACTGCCTCTGTTATTTCAACTAACAAAGGAGGTGACTGAAAACACAGGGGTGAGTCATACCTGAAATATCATCCCARTCAGCAAATGTGGACAAATACAGAACATTTGCTTTGTTGGGCAATTACACCAAAACACCGTAGAGTCCTTAACTACTTCAGGCTAAGTTTCAGAATTACAGACAGGAGAAGCATGTAAGAAATGCAAGACTGAAAAC